GCTGTGCGCGGAGGCAGGGGCATGGCCAAAAGCACCTCGTGGCTTCCCACGGATTAGCTCCCCGACGGGGCAGCCCACCAAGAACTGTTCAGGGGGCTCTGGGCCCTGGGCAGGAAGGCTTTCCAGGATTTCCAGTGCTGGGAAAAGAGCAGCATCCAATGAGCCAGACACAAATCCTGACTCTGCCACTTTGAGGCTCTGCAAACTTTGACTTCTTAGAGCCTCCGTTTCCTCCCCTATGAAATGGGGACAGCTAATGCAGATTGGGGTCGTGGTGAGGGTGACGTGGATCATGGACAGAAAGGCTTCCAGGTCCAGAAACGCCCAGGAGCTGCCTGGGGGACCCTCTGAGCCCACAGCTTGCCTCCTCCTTAGGACAAAGCCCTGGACCGCCCTGACCAGGCGCCCTCTTGCTGCAGCTTCCCAGTGGTTCCTTCTGGAACCCAAGGAGACTTTAAGGCACCCTTTGGAGGCTGTTTTGGCCATAAGCCTGGGGAGAGGGTGCTATGGGCCTGAGTCTGAACCCAGGCCAGGGCTGGCCTCCTCCCAGGCCCCACCCCCTCCACCTCAGCCTCCGAGGACTGAAGCCTGGGCCTGGAGAGCCACGTAGAATGAGGGGGCTGAGAAGAGGGGGGGCAGTCTCTCCCAGCCAGGCCCCGCCTGCCCCTCAACTTCCCTGCCAGGCCAGCATCCCAGCCACGCTCTGGCCTTCTCCTCTCCGCCTCAGCTGTACCAAGGGGAGCGCTTCGATTTTTCCACCAAAAGAGCCAAGAGCAAAATGGGAAACGAATCCAGCCTGGTCCCCCTGCCTGACCCATGGGGAATGGAAGGAGGCGGACAGAAGCCCCCAGCCCATTCCCTACCCCCACTCCTATTCCCCCACCCAGGACACAGGCCTGCTCCAGGATGCCTGGGGCCAAAGGCCTAACTGAGGAGGGGAGAGGAGAGGTTGGGGGGAACCCTCACTTCCCCACACCCACCACGAGGCAGAAAGTCTGGGGCTCACACTCTAGCTGCTCCCCCCATTCCCTGCCCTGGCTTTCTGGAAAAGAATGAGAAAAGAGGCCTTGTCTCTGAGGCTCTGCCTTGAGATCATTATCAGAGGGGAAGGGATGGTTGCTGCTCTCGGATGCTCCATGTCTAGACAAAGAGATGGGACCTCCTAGCCCCCTTCCAATTAATAACCTCCCCAGTCTCTTCCCCTCATTGAGCTCCCTCCTGCCCCCAAGCTCCCCTCCCTCACTGACACCGCCCTCACTGAGTAGCTCTCCCCATCAGCATATCCTGTTCCCTTGCCCTCCTTCTCCACCCACCCCTCTTACCCTTCTCTGCAGTGAGCTTACCTCAGCCACTCCAGGAAACAGCAGCTGCACAGAGATGAACAGAGATGGAGGCAGGGTCCCAGCCAAAGTGCTGGACACCTGACAGGCCTGAGTCTTTCCTTTCCTCACCCTATGAAATGGTCCCCTCTCCTGGCCAAAGCCCGCCTCCCTGGGCTCAGGGCCCCCGCACTCCTGCCCTCCCCCCGCCGCCCCAGGTTCTCTGGGTGCTGCCTGCATCTCCCACTGGACGGGTTTCCTTCCCATCTGCCCACAGACACAGGCTAGGGTCTCTCATTTCCCTGAGCCCCTGAAGCCCCACATCGCCTTCCTGGCTCTGTCCTCCCTTCCCAGCACACTTCTTCTAAGGGCTGTCTCAGCAGCCAGTGAGCTCATTCCTCAACCTGCCCCAATCTGGCTTAACTCTGGGACCCTGGAAGGAACTCTGTCTTCAGAAGGAATGAAGGTTTCCGTGGAGGCAGATGGCATCAACCTAGAGCCTTGACAACCTGTCTCACAGAGTCTGCCTTTCCATAAAAAATTGCCAGGTGGCTGTCTTCTCCTCCTCCTCCTCCTTGCCCTCTCTTTCTTTTCCTCTTTCCTTCGGTTCCCTTCCCTTCAAGAGCAATTCAGTCCAGTCCAGAAGCCTTTGGATAAGTCAAGGTAGATGACCTTGGGGGTTGGGGGTGGGGAACGCAGTGGTCCTGCAATGGTTTGGGGGCTCAAGTGAAGTAAGGAGGACTTCTTTGCTTGGGGGGACAGCCAGAGCAGGACCAGCAGTGGGGCAGGGGAGAGGGAGAGAGAGAGAGAGAGAGAGAAAAGAGTCAAAGCTCAATCGTGCAAGCAGATAGCCTCACCCAAATGTCAGCACTCAAGCAGGAAGAAGGCATCCAAGGAGGAAGGCAGCCTGGAGTGAGATATCAAAGCCCAAATAAGATAAGGAAGATATCTGCGTGCAGGCCAGCTCCGTGAGGGAGATTGGTTGGAGCCCGAAGGGGCATTTGACAAAGGTAGTGGCCAAGCGCTGAGAAGGGGGTTCCACAGGGGATGAGAAGGGCATCCCTGAAAAGGGGAGGACAGGGCATCCAAAAAGTGTGGAATATCAGAGCCTGTTGAGGTGAAGAGCCCATCCATGTGGGGAACAGAGTGGTGGTGGTGGCCTGGGGTAAAGTGTTGGAGCCCAGGAGGGCACAGGTGGGGTCCCCATAGGGAGCAGAGGCAATGTGCCATTGGTTACCCATAGTGGGACCAATCCAATAAGGAAGTATGTTGAGGGAGTGAGCCAGGTTTCCCAACGCTGGCAAAAGATGTTAGAAATATGGGGAGGAAGAAAACTATAATGAACCCTACAGTGTTGGTTTGGAATTGGAGGTATTGGTAAGAACTTGTGATTTTCAAAGTAAATAGGTATAGAAATAAATGTTGATGTAAGTGTGTATGACATGTTTATGTTGTGTGTTTGTGTATATGTGCATATGTGTATATGTACATATACACATATGTGTGTGTGTGTATATATATATAAATATATATATATATATATATATATAAAACGTATATATGTGCATATATTTCCTAGCTTTACCCACTGAGAGGGCTTGGGAGCAGTGACATCTTAATAATAAAGAGCATAGCCAGCCCCCAAGTCTTGATTTCTTTCCTTTTTTTTGGTTGAAATACAGTTGACACACCAAGTTAACATTAGTTTCAGGTGTACAACAACACAGTGATTCGACAGCTCTATACGTTATGCTATGCTCTAGTCTTGATTTCTGAATACCACTGTCCACCAGAAGAAACCAGGACTCCTTTCAGGAAATGCCTGATTACAGGGCTGGGGCAGAGAGAGTAGAAGACAAGCCTGAATCATCTTGTGCCAGAAAATAAAGAAGTACTCAGAAATGATTAAACAGAGTTACCATATGACCCAGCAATTCCATTTCTGAGCATACTCAAGGCAAATAAAAACACGTGTCTGCACAAAAACTTGTGCAGGAATGTTTATGGCAACATTGGTCGTAATAGACAAAAGGTGGAAACCACTCTCAAATGCCCATCAACTGATGAAAATAAACGAAACATGTTTTCCATACAATGGATGGAGTATTATTCATCCACAAAGAGGAATGAAATAATTATACATGGTACACCTCGGATGAGCCTTGAAAACATGATGCTAAGTGAGAAATGTCACATATTATTCGATTCCATCATATGAAAGTCCAGAACAGAGAGATGTATAGAGACAGAAAGTAGATTAGTGGTTGCCTAGGGCCGAAGTGGGGACAGGAGGATACGAGGAAGATAGCTAAAGATTACAAGGTTTCCTTTTGAGACGTTGAAACTCTTCTAAAATTGACTGTGGTGATGGCGGCACCCATCTGTGAATGTACTAAAAGCCACTGAATTGTACACTGTAAATGGGTGAATTGTATGGTATGTGAATTACACTCAATAAAGCTCTTCTAAAAATAAGTACTCAAAGAATGATGGAGACATGTCAAAAGAGTACAGAAGCCAGCTGGAAAGGACTTCCATTGGCTGAATCGGGTTCTTCTGAGCATCACAATAATTAATGATATTAATAGATTCTTACTTACTGAATAAAATAGGAATCCACGATTCCATAATAAATAAATGAATATGTGGAAAGTCTGTTGAGGAATGTAATATTTACACATTCTCGAAGTACTTTCCTACAAAATACTTATCAATTATACAGGGAAAAGGGTAACTTTACAGTGGAGAAGGCTGGCAGACACCAACTTGATCAAGTAGTCAAAGTGAACATCACAGTGATGGGACAATCATGCCCTACCCAATAGAATGCAATGGGAGAGAGACATAGTATCATTTCTGTGACATTCTTTTTTTTTTTTTTAGATTTTATTTATTTATTTGACAGACAGAGATCACAAGTAGGCAGAGAGGCAGGCAGAGAGAGAGAGGGAGAAGCAGGCTCCCCATTGAGCAGAGAAGCCTGATGTGGGGCTCGATCCCAGGACCCTGGGATCATGACCTGAGCCGAAGGCAGAGGCTTTAACCCACTGAGCCACCCACCGATTTCTGTGACATTCTTACATGAAATGCTCCACCTGAATTTAATCGTGAGGAAACACCAGACGGAGTCCAAGTTAAGAGATCATCTAACAAAACAATGGGCCTGTAATCTACAAGAGTGTCCTCAAAGTTAAGAAGAGACTGAAACACCATCCCATATTGGAGGAGACTAGAGATATCTGAGAACCACGTGTAACATGTGATTCTGTCCTGGATCCTTTTGCTACAAGGACATTATTGGGGTCGCTGGTGAAACATGAATGGGAGGTGTGGATTAGATGGTAGTAATGTTCCAGTGTTAATTTCCTGACTTTGATGATGGTATTGTGGTTATCCAGGAGGTATCCTTCTTCATAGGAATCATACATTGAAGTGTTTGGGAGATGGTGGCAACTTACTCCCGGATGAGTCAGTGAAATAGGTTTTTGTACTCTATTAGGGACCATTCTTTAAGTTTGAGATTGCTTCAAATTAAATAAAATTAATTATCATGTATGTGAAGAAACTGGACTAATACCTGAAACCTAAGAGAAAAACAGATCATAGAAAATACAACTTCACAGGAGACCCAGATATTAGAGTTATCGGACATTGTTTGTTGTTGTTGTTGTTTTTCGATTCTGAGCTCAGATCAAATGTAGAAAACTACATAGTTATAAAGGTCAGTAGTAAAACCTTTTCATCATTGTTGAGATCTGATTGGCCTTTTATATACATGCCCTCATTTTCTTTCATCCATCAACAAGTCCTCAGTTATCCATTGTCATCTTTACAAATACACACACACACGTGCATGCGCGTACACACACACACACACTTAAGCCTTATTGGTTTAAATTACTTTAAATATTTGCTTCTCAGAACTACAGAGATCATGCATTAGGTAGACTGTAAGGTCTTCTGATGCTCAAATTTGGCTATTTTCATAAGACATGGTTTGAAAATAAGATAATACTGTGTAATAAAAGAGATAACAAGCTATAGGCTTTCATAAAAGAATTGGGATTAATGAACAATAAAGAATCAAATGGAATCCTAGAATGGAAAAAATACAATAACTAAAATTAAGAACTTATTACACAGATCTTGATGTATAGATGGAGCAGAAGAGAGAATTAGTGAGCTGGAAGAGAGTTCAGTAGGAAATACCTAGACTAAAGCACACCACAGAAAAAAAAAAGATGGAAGGACACAGAAAATACTGTTAGTGTAACATGTAACACAATAGAAGTTCTAACATATGTTTCTGGATTCCAAAAAGGAAAAGAGAGAAATAATGGGGTAGAAATAATATTACTGGCCAAAATACACTAGCCAAAAATACTTTATACTTGACATAAGACTCAAACTAAATAGGGTGATTACAAAGAAACCCTACTCAGGCACACTGTAGTTAACTTGCTAAAGATTAAAAACAGAGATAAATCTTAAGAGGCACGTTATTACTTTAAGGAAACGACCCAAAGACTGACAAATTGAAGAGATGAAACATACATGATCTAAATATGTTTTGAATATAGTTTGAATATGATTAAAAGCATATTAGACATTGCAGAAGAAGAGATCAGTAGACTCAAAGCCGTATGATGACATATTAGCAGAATGTTTTTCTTTTTTTTTTTAAGATTTTATTTATGTATTTGACAGACAGAGATCACAAGTAGGCAAAGAGGCAGGCAGAGAGAGAGGGAAGTAGGCACAGAGATCACAAGTAGGCAGAGAGGCAGGCAGAGAGAGAGGGAAGTAGGCTCCCTGTTGAGCAGAGAGCCGGATGTGGGGCTTGATCCCAGGACCCTGGGATCATGACCTGAGATGAATGCAGAGGCTTTAACCCACTGAGCCACCCAGGTGCCCCTTCACCAGAATGTTTTTGAAAGGAAGCACAGAGAGAAAAAAAGAAGCACACCAAAAACATAAGAGAACCAGCGACCTATGAGAGGCTATCAAGTGCTCTAACATCCTTGTAGTGGAAATCCTGAAAGAGAGGGGAAAGTGAAAAAATAGTGATCCCAAATTTTCCAAATCTGACAAAAACTAGAAACCCAGAAATCCAAGGATCTCAGCACTCATCACAAAATGACAGTGAGGTCCATTATAATCAAGTTACTGAAAGTCTGTGACAATGAGAAAATCTTAAAAGAAACTAGAGCAGAAAAAGGACATTACATACAGAGAGATAAAATTATCACAGCCTTACTGTCAGAGACTACACAAGCCAGAAGACAATAGAACATAATTTTTTAAGTTGTGAGTAAAAAAGATACTATCCAGGGGTGCCTGGGTGGCTCCCTGGGTGGGTTAAAGCCTCTGCCTTCTGCTTGGGTCATGATCTCAGGGTCCTGGGATCGAGCCCTGCATCAGGCTCTCTGCTCAGCAGGGACCCTGCTTCCTTCTCTCTCTGCCTGCCTCTCTGCTTACTTGTGATCTCTCTGTCAAATAAATAAATAAAAATCTTAAAAAACACACACTCACACTTAAAAAAAAAGATACTATCCAACCTAAATCTTTAAGCTTAGAGAAAATATCTTAAAAAAGGAAGGTGAAACAGAAACTTTTTGACACACACAAAAGTGAAGGAACTTTATCATTAGTCAGCCTGCACTCTAACAAATGTTAAAGTTTTTCAGGCACAAGGAACATGACGGCAGATGGAAATTTGGACCTACACAAAGGAATAAATAGAATCTGAAATGGAAAATATGTGGTTAAATATAAAATATATTTTTGACATTTAAAATTTTGTTTAATAGACAATTAACTATTTAAATAAAAAAGAATAAAATGTATTGTGGGGCTTATAACATGTAGAAATGAAATGTATAATGACACAAACTATTAGAGGGGAAAATGGGACTATACTATTTTAAGTTTCTAATTTTTACACGACGCGATATAATGTTATTTGAAGGAAAACTGTTATAAGTTAAAGATCCATATTTTAAACCTTAGATCAAGTGTTGGCAAAATTTTCCTGTAAAGGGCCAAATAGTGAATATCTTAGATGTCAAAGGTCACAGCCTCTGCTGCAACTCCCCTGTTGTCATAGAAAAGCAGCCATAGAGGCACCTGGGTGGCTCTGTGGGTTAAAGCCTCTGCCTTCGGCTCAGGTCATGATTCCAGGGTCCTGGGATTGAGCCCCACATCGGGCTCTCTGCTTAGCAGGGAGCCTGCTTCCTCCCCTCTCTCTCTCTACCTGCCTCTCTGCCTACTTGTGATCTCTGTCTGTCAAATAAATAAATAAAAAGCTTTAAAAAAAAAAGCAGCCATAGACAATATGTAAATGAGTGAACATAGCTGTGTTCCAATAAAACTTTACTTGTGGACTCTGAAATCTGAATTTCAAACCATTTTCATGTATCATAAAATATTATTCTTCTTTTGAATTTTTCAACCTTCGAAAAATGTTAAACTGTTCTTGACAAACCTCCCAGGCAGAAGAAGCTAATTTATGAGATACTCTGTTCTCAAAGTTCTCATAACTCATAACTGTTCTCTGCTCTCATAACTCCCCATTCCTTACATGTGGGTGGGCATGGTGACTTCCCTCCAAACAGTCCAGTATGGAAAAGGATGAAAGGTTAATGTTAGAGAATCAGCCAGATGATCGAGCTTCACATAAACAATGATAAGTCATGTTGATAGTATGTACTCGTGATGTGATTAAAATGACACTTCACCTGTGTGATCTTCCTTAAAAAAACCATAACCCTAGTCAAAGCATGAGAAAAACATCAGGCAAATCCAAACAAAGGGACATTGTACAAAATATCTGACCAGTACTCTTCAATATTGTCCAAGTCATAAAAAAATGAATGAATGAAAAAGAGAAGGGAGAAAGAAAGAAGAGAAAAAAGAAAAAGGAGGGTCTGAGAAACTCTCACCACCCAGAGGAGCCTGAGAAAACATGATTAAATGTAGTGTGGCATCTTGGATTGGATCCTGAGCCGACAACAGGACTTTAGGTAAAAACTGAGGAAACCTCCCAAGTAATCATTGGTGGATAAGTGGGTAAACAACATGTAGAATATACATACCATGGATATTAATCAAGCTTTAAAAGGAAGGAAATTTGGACACGGCTACAACATGGATGGAGCTGGAGGACATTAGGCTAAGTGAGATGAGCTGGTCATGAAAACATAGACGCTACGTGATTCCACTTACATAAGGCATCTAGAGTAGTCAAATTCATAAAAATAGAAAGCAAAAACAGTGATTGCTGGGAGACGGAAGAGGGAAAAATGGAGAGATGTTGTTTAATGGGTATAAAGTTTCAGTTTTGCAAGATGAAAAGACTTCTGGAGATTGGTTGCACAATGATGTGAGTATATTAACATTACTGAACAATTAAAAATGGCTAAGATGGTAAATTTTTTGTGATGTGCATTCTATCACAATTTTTTAGGATTTATTTATTTATTTATTTTAGAGACTGTGTGTGCGCGCGTATGTGCGCGCGCACGCCCACGTGAGCAGGGGTGGGGGCAGAGGGAGAAAGAGAGAGAGAATCCCAAGCCCACTCATCCCTGAACTCAAGCCCCAATCAGAACTCGATCCCACAACCCAGAGATCATGACCTGAGCCAAAATCAAGAGTCAGATGCTTGGGGCGCCTGGGTGGCTCAGTGGGTCAAAGCCTCTGCCTTCAGCTCAGGTCATGGTCCCAGTGTCCTGGGATCAAGCCCCACATTGGGCTCTCTGCTTAGCAGGGAACCTGCCTCCTCCTCTCTCTCTCTGCCCGCCTCTCTGCCTACTTGTGATCTCTATCTGTCAAATAAATAAATAAAATCTTTAAAAAAAAAAAAAGAGTCAGACGCTTAACCAACTGAGCCACCCAGGTGCCCTTATTTTAATCACAATTTTTAAAAACTAAGAAAATCTCAATAAAGTGTGGACCTTAGTTAATAATAAAGTATCATTATTGGTTCATTAACTGTGATATATGGAGCATACTATAACATAAGGTGCTAATAATAGAGAAGACTGACCACAGGACATATGAAAAAGCCACACTTTCTTCACAATTTTCTATACCTCTAAAACTGTTCTATAAAATAAAGTTTGTTATTAAAAAGCATTCTTATTTCATGGGCCATAAAAAAGAGGCCATGGGCTGACCCCTGCACTAAAACAACCACTAAACATATTTAAATGCTATATGGGTATTAAGGCATTAGTAAAGATCAAAGCAATATTTTAAAACAATCAATTTTTTAAAAGGCCAGAAAAGAAGAGAAAAGAAAGAAAACATGAGATGTGGAGAAAACAAATAACAATGGATGGGGTTAGAGGGTATTATGCTAAATGAAATAAGTCAATCAGAGAAAGACAATTATCATATGGCTTCACTCATATGTAGAATTTAAGAAACAAAACAGGATAATAGGAGAAGGGAGGGAAAAATAAAATAAGATGAAATCAGAGAGGCAGATAAACCAAGAGACTCTTGACTTTAGGAAACAAACTGAGGGTTGCTGGAGGGGAGGTAGGTAGAGTAAGGGGTAATTGGGTGATGGGCATTAAGGGGGACACGTGATACAATGAGCACTGGGTGTTACATGCAACAGATGTATCACTGAAATTTACCTCTGAAACTACTAATACACTATATATTAGTTGAATTTAAATAAAATAAAAATTTTAAAAAAGAAATAGCAAGATGGTAGATTTAGACCAAACCATATGATTATTA